AACAATACTTATGGCCTCTTTCTTTGTTTCCACAGTCCTCTGAGATTCTCCACCTTTTATTTGTTCCCTTCCTCTCCCTCCATCCCACCTGCCTGACATCACTGTCACGCTTTCTCTCCCTCCTCCCACAGAGCGTGTTTCATTTTGTTTATTGTTTTTATTCCTACTCCCTGTCTATTCACTTGGATCTCCCAAAGCAGTTTCTTGACGCTTTATGTTTGTGTGTCAATCAAACCACCCTGCGGATAGAACGCCTCTGTGACTGGTCATATCCCACCTGATGCCTCACATAAGTGGGCAGACAGCTCCATGGACACACACACACACACACTCTTTCATATCACAGCAAGTGGAATACTGTGGTGCTTTATGGATTGAAGACATGTAAACTAGACTTTTTAAAAATACATTTCTCGTATGCGTCCATTGTGTGTGGGGTGTATCCCAACTCTTACTCTGTGTCTAGTGCGATAGGCTCCAGCAACCCTGAGCAAGTAGTGAAGAAAATGAATGCACGTATGGATTATATCCAAACAGGCACCACACTTTTGTGAAATGACGATGTGTTATACGCACAGTTAGCATCTATTTTGGGTTCCACATTAATAACTTCGTTTTTTCTCTGCTGATGATATTGCTGCTCTCTGCCCTGCAGACGGTTTTGAATGTTTTGAAACCTCAGGGGAGAGAATTCAGAAAATGATGTGACACACGCATCTCCTCCCCATCAGGCTTATCCCACAGAGACTGCTTATTTCATTAATTAGTAAGCACAATTTATTTTTAATTTCTCCTCTGATTGTGGCTTCTTTATGCATAACTGGGTGCCTCTGCATCTTCTTTGTCCCCCCTCCTCCCTTTGTGTGCACAAGCATGCACGCCTGTAAACTAATATTGTTCAAATATTCCCCGGGGCTCCAGAGCACTGAAAGCCTGAATCAGCTATTGGCTCTGTCCTCCTTCATTAGAAGGGTATGAAATCACTATCTTATTGATTCTTCTCATTAACCTTTCTCTCATCTGATCTGTAATGTTGTTTTCTGTCCCTCTCTGAGCCTTTTCTCTGCAGCTTTCCTCATTTCGCCTCCCATGCCTACGTTTCCCCCCCCCATCACACTCTTCTTTGCACTTTATGAACCTGCCATGACCACAAATTTCCTTCTGCATTTCCTCATGCCTGCTCTTTCTGAGCTATTTCACCTTATCTTTCACCCACTCATAAAACCCACAATAGACACTGAGGTAACACACTATGTCTGGATGACCTTGAGGTGACCCCTTTTTGCCTACTGTGGGGTGACTAAATACAGTTATGTTTTCAATTATGTGAATTAATTCAAAAGGACGATAATGATGGTTACAGTGATGTCTTAAATAATGTGTTTAATGGACACTGAAAGCCTTCTATATGGCTCTTTGAATTACACTCGTTCATATCTTTCATTGTCATTAACTGCAAAGCTGTAAAAGCTGATATTGCTGCCAATCGGGTAACGACGCAAGAAAGAGATTTTTCTCGGTGTCAGCTTCCTAACCTTTTGCAGTTCGCATGACATTGTGTATGTTTTGATGTTTACAGCTGTGGGTGGAAAAAACACCCCACTGAATGTGAAACGGCTTCCTGTGAACTCCTATCACATTTCTCTCAACAGATGGCAATGAAGGGCACATCTGCGGGCACTTCTGCTGATTTACATCGTACGCCGTGTGTGTGTGTCCGTGTGCACGTGCAGGAGTCTGAATTTGAGCATTTGCGTCATCTCGCAGGGAAGGCTGCATCCACGGGTCGACTGCTGGAGGACCGACGCAGGTGGAGATGCTGAGGACGGCGACTGAATACCCAAGAGAGACGGGGAGGGACTGAGTCAGAGTATGACAGATAAAAAAAGACAGTGAGGAGGGAGGGGAGGGGGAGAAAAAAAGGTGTTCTCACCCGGTGAGAGAGGGGAGATTGTAGGACCATGAAAGGAAGGGATGAGGGAGGAAGAGAAGGAGGGAGCTAGGAGAGACAGTGGACCAAAACAGGCTGAATTCTCTCGGGGGTGAAAGGATGAAAAGGGAAGAGACAGTGACAGAGAGAAAGGGGAGCTCTTATGTCACTCTGAAGAGGAATTGTCTTCTGTTTGACCTTTTCAGACAAATTCACACCCTTTCATTCAATCCCTCTTGAATCTCACCCACATACAAAAAAAGAAAATCATAAAAATCCCTCCGTGGACCCTCCTCTCTTTTATTTCATGTTTTCCAGCTCTTTTCTCACATAAATATGGACTGGGCACCGGGCCTCACCTCTTGTGCACCTACTCTGCTCTCAGCCAAGTCATAGAGAGGTGATTTTGTAATTACAGCCTTTTCTTTTGTCGGATGATGACAGCATAGTCATTATTCTCTTGTGCGTCCGTTGCAGCTTGTTCCAACCATCTATGAGCTGCTTGTCTGCGTCTTTTTCATCCATGTATTCTGAAACTACAGAGATCAGCACTCTCAAGGTCTTGCCTGTATTTTGCTGTAGATATTTTTACATAAATGCCCCAAGGTCTCACTTCCTTTACTTCACTCAGGAAGGGCATGAATGCCGGACAGTCGTAAAGAATTCCTTGGCCGTGACCTCAGACGGCACAAGGAGAACTGGAGTTGATTCTCAGCTGCTATGCCGTGACTGTCAAGTGCAGAGGTTTTTTCCACATGGGAATAAATGAAGTATTAATGAAGATGCAAACCGGATGCACAAGAATGAGCATCACCGTTGTTTGGATCAGGAGGATCGTTCAAGGCGACTTATGGCGATTTAATTAAACATGAATTAAAATGCTTTTGGACGTGACATTGTGCCACAAATGGTTGTAATTCACATCGTCCGTGGCACTGCTGCCATCTGTAAAGCTGTGCCATTAGTGCCTCCCTGTGAGTGATACGCCTTATGCTAGAGGAAAAAAAAAGCATCATTTCCATATCAGTGTGCTATGTAAGTACAATATCAAGATCTATCCACATTTGTGTGAGTTCTAGTAATGCGAAGCCAATCACAGCTTATTATTTGTACAAAGGCGAGGCAGACCTCTGTGTCCACCAAAAGACCATGCTTTGTAAAATATAAACTGATAAATATAGCAGTGCTGCCCTCTGTTGGAACAACTATGCCAGTAAGGCCCCACAAATCCAAGCACATACAGGTGCTGGGCTAATGGGATACAAAAGTAAATACACTATATCATTTTTGGTCATTTCTAACAAAAGCACAGTAGTGCCATGTAGATCATCACAAGCATATTTATAAACCTGGTTAACTGGTCAATGGTTTGCTCCTTCTAGCCAAATTCTTTAGTCTATAAATTAGGCTGAATCTACAAAACCCCCATAATGCAATACTGTGCTTTAATTTTGAGGCATGAAATAGCATGAGTTGCACTGATTCATTGTTTCAGGTCTGTTATTTACCCACTGATTAATTAGGTAAATGTAAAAGAGTAACACATGCAATATTTATCAGCTATTTTCTGGTCTGATGATAAGGATGAGGAGGATTACTGCCTTTTAAAAAGTGACTTAGTATATGTGAGGGGGCAAAGTAACCGGGTCATTGCAGCAGATTTCAATGCAAGACACCCTACGAGACCACCCATCTCCCATGCTACAGTCAGCAAACTGCTTGCTAAGTTTCGTGAAACTGGTTCAGTGTTGGATTTGCCAAAATGTGGACGCAAGAAAACTGTCACTAATGAAGAAACATCAGTGGCTGTCCTAGCTTCATTCAGCAAGAGCCCACAGCGTAGCACTCGCCGCATGTCACTGGAGAGTGGGATTAGTCGAACATCCCTTCGGCGGATATTAGCTACTCACAAATGGCACCCTTACAAACTCCAGCTACTGCAGCATCTCAACGAGGATGACCCAGATCGGCGCACAGAATTTGCAGAATGGGCAAAACAAAAATTGGAACAGGACCCTCAGTTCACGCAGAAGATTTTGTTCAGTGATGAGGCAAACTTTTATGTGAATGATGAAGTTAACAAACAAAACCACCGCTATTGGTCTGACACTAACCCACATTGGATGGATCCCTCCAAGACTGTTGGAACAACAAAAGTGATGGTTTGGTGTGGTATATGGGGTACAACGATAGTGGGTCCATTCTTTATCAATGGAAACCTCAAGGCCACTGGATATTTGAAATTGCTACATGATGATGTGTTTCCCTCTTTATGCACTGAAGCTGGCACGTTCCCTGAGTTTTTCCAGCAAGATTGATCAGACTGATCCAAAACCCTGCCGCCAGATAAGAATGCTTCATGAAATTATTCCTACCAATCTCTGTAAAACTGCAAAATAACTTTTGTTTATGTGATAGCTGAATCACGCTAGTCCCAAACATATTACACAGTGTATAGTATACATATTTATTAATGCAATTTGCGCTAAGATTATTATTAAACCTGGGTTATATGGTAAAGTGGAGGTCGTTGACCTCTAAGGGTAGGAGTGGTATGACAGAGGTTGTGCAAATGGTAAAATTCTGTCTAATACCAATTGTAAGAAAACAGCTCTACCTGAATAGTGCCGGAGTTACCAGGCTTTTCCAAGCGTCATTGTATTTATTATTAGAAAACCAGAAATCAGAGGGGGGGAAAAAACAAACTAACAAAGAAACATTAAATCAAACTGATAACAGTGCACGATTTATTCGTTTTTCCTATTAAAACCAATGACTGTAGAAAACTTTTCTACAGTCATTGATTAAAACCAAAACAAACAAAAAAGTTTGCTTTTGATACTCGCGATATGTTACCAAATCTCGCGATACTACGTGCATCCCATTCGAGCTAAACTGGAGGGATTTCTGTAGTATTGAGCGAGCAGCTAACACGTTAGCAACACTGAGATAATCTATTTGCAAATAACTCGCTCCTTAAAAAAGGAAACCAAGCCGGCTCAGAGGTGAGGACGTATTCTTACAAGCGATGCCCATTTGTTAGCTACTTAAACGTAGCTTAGAGAGAATAGCTGTAGAAAACAGTCATGGTAAACTGAACTCTTGTGTAGCCTGTGGTGATACAGGAGTGAAGCAGTTTAAAACGTTCTTAACAAACCAGTGAATACCTTCTTGAGATAATTCTTGATAATTGTCAAATATGGCAACTAACGTAAACATTAGCTTTTGGTTAAGCTACTAAAGTTGGTTTCGTGTTTGTGCAGCTGAGCAAAGAAGCTAATGCCACTTTTATCTTACTTCGCACTTTTACGTAGTTAATGCTAGGAACCTGTCTGCATATAACATTAACGTGTTAACACTTTTATCGTAAAGTTATAAAGCATGAAAATGGTGCACTTTAGAATTGCTTAGCTAAACTTTACATGGCCGTAGTGTAGTCTTTTTTTACTCGTACTGTGAGCCTTTCGTTTGTGTGCTGCATCTTCCAGGATGGATTTAGAAGACGACACGACCATTTTAACAACCCTGAAGTCCTTCAATTCCTTCATCAGCCGCCCCGAACATCCACAGCGGCTGTCAGAACACTCAGCAGGGAGTGGAATCCTGCAGAGTCAGTACAAGCGCAGCATGGAGGTACATACAGAAACTGTTTGCATCAACAGGGGGGCAAAAAAGCTGAACAAAAATAGCACCAGCATTCAGCCTCCGCACTTACTAGCATATCCTTCTTTTAGCTTTTAGAAGCAGCAGAGAGGGTTCACTCCAAGAATCGCTACCTGCAGTTGGACCAGGAAAAGAAACAGATGGAGCTGAGTCACAAACGGGCTCGTTTTGAGCTGGAGAAGGCAGCCTCAGACAGCGCACGAGACTTGGAGGTACATGCCATACATACTCCTTTAATACCACATGACCAAGGCATCAGATAGCTCACCACCTTGTTATGTTGCAGCATGAGGTGGATCGGAACCAGGAGCTTTTGGGACAAATAAAGAAGCTGGAGGAGAGAGCGGAAGAGGTGAATAAGAAGCTAACACAGCAGAAGGAAGCAAATGATGCTCTCCAGAAGAACCTGGAGGGTCTAAACAAGACACTGGAGGAAAGAGATGATAAGCTTGGCACAGCTAACCAGGTGCACGCATGCTTGTAGATTTGCACGCACAGTTATTTTGCCAGTCTGGTAGTGCCTCTTATCTTATACTGGATTACCTCTGTTATCTGTTTGCAGACCATCAGCTCTTTGAAGGATGAGATCAGAGAGCTCAGGCAGAAGATTCAAAACCAAGACTCAAAAATGTCTGCTCAAACGCTCGAAAACCAGGAGTTACAGGAAAAGCTAGATTTGCAACAAAGGTACACACACAAACAAGGACTGACACTTTGCTCTTTTTCATGCTAATAAATATTGAGCTGTACTGCTTACTATAAATGCTGACCATGCAGTTTTCTTTGATTGCTGTTATGATCAGGAAGTATCAGGAAGTCTCTCAACTTTGCCAAAGTCTCCAAGCTGCGCAGTCCTCATGCTCTGATCACATAATCAAGATTAAGGTACGAAATGCTGTCGCTTCTATTGGGCTCCTTATGGTTTCACTTCAGAGTTTAAATGGTGTACGGATTTGTCTGTAGTTCAGAACATTCCAGTGTCCACAGTTCATGGAGAGAAACTAGTTGAAATAGTTAAACATAGCAGTTTGTACGTCTTTGCACTGATGTAGACGGTGTGGTTACACAGTGTTATGTAGCTCACTCTACAGCGAATGTAAACCTACTAAATATGATTACGATTTAGACGTATAACCAATGCATGTGCAGTATATCAGTTCAATTTTCTACATATCAGCTTTTTTGTTCAAACTACCTTTCTCCTTCAAATTGCATAAAATGAGTTTAAATGTATTTTTTCCCCTCATAACATAAACTTATCGAACATACCATTTTGCCTTCAGAACAGCCTTAATTTTCAGAGCATAGATTCAACAAGGTGTTGGAAACATGCCTCACAGATTTTGGTTCATATTGACATGATGGCATTACACAGTTGCTGCAGATTTGTCTGTCTGTTGGACTGAGATCTGGGGACTGTGGAGTACAGTGAGTTCACTGTCATGTTTAAGAAACCAGTTTGAGGTGATTTGGAGTCTTGTGACATGTCACGTGATCTTGCCGGAAGCAGCCATCAGAAGTTGGGTACACTGTGTTCATAAAGAGATGGACATGGTCAGCTACAATCGTCAGGTAGGGTGTAGGTTTAAATGATGCTTAGTTGGTACTAAAGCCCTTTTTCCATTAGTACCCACTCGGATCAGCTCGACATCGATCAGGCAACAATTTTTACTAATCTTCTGTTGTCCACTTTTGGACAATAAAAGATTGCTGAGTCGTTGCCACATGATTGGTGGTTAGATATTTACATTAATACAGGTGTGTGTCCCCCAGTCATGTCTGTCCCGTTTGTAGCAACTGAAAATAAAATAAATTCATAATTATAATAAAGGTCAATCAAATGGACCAATATGGCAAGGCCATAATGATCCACTTGGTAAAATAAATCCGCTTGGCATCTTTCTTGGCCTTAAGACAACAATTCTGAAGGCCAAAGATCCAAACGGGACACAAAAAATAAAAAAATAAAAAAATAAAAATAAAAATACAGGTATGTGTGTGTGTGTGTGTGTTTGCTTGTTTGTTACAGGTATTTGTTTCCATAAAGTGTGTCATTAATCTGAAAACTGTATTACTGGTGAATTTCTCACTTTCAAATTTGGCAGGAGTTGGAAAGGCGGCTTGTGTTCCAGGAGCAGGACTTTGCCATTGTGAAGACTGTAAAGTCAGAGGTGGCCAGAGTTCCAGATCTGGAAAAGGAGCTGAAGCGCCTCAGAGATGATAATGCCTACCTCAGGTTAAATACATTTTTGAAGTTTCCTTAACATGTAGTCAAGTCAAGTCAAGTCAATTCAACTTTATTTGTCAATTCTGCCACATGTACAGGACATACAGAGAATAGAAATTTCGTTACTCTCAAACCCTAGATGAAATAGCAAATGAACATTTAAATATAAGAGAGTGATTAAAAAAATGCAAATAAAATAATTAAAAAGTAAAAATTTAAATAAATACAATACAATTTTACGTATAACAAGAAAGCTATGCAATATACAATATTCAAGTAAGGGTAAATGACATTGAGTGTAAACCAGGCAGAGTAGTGCAAATAAGCAAATAGTGCAAATGGAGATTTAGTAATATACGGTAAGAGATAGTGTAACAACAAAGTCTTATGAGAGTCTTATGTAAACTTTTTACACTGTAGTGGAGGGACCTTTCAATCCACAAGTTTCACACACACATAGACCACAAGCTCTCTTTTCTTTAACAAGTGTTTTTGGTATTTGTAATATGTGTTTGTGCCTGTGTCGTCTCTAAAACCTTACACTATATGTTTAGGTTGATTCTGTTTGTACCACGTAGTTTGGATGCTATCGGGCATTAATGAGCACAGAAGCATTTTGAAAGATTAAGTTGGATAACAGAAGATCCATTTGTCAAGTAACAGCCAAACAGCTTGTCAGACTAAGTGGAGAAATTTAGCAGTTGGTGTGTTTATCCACTTATCCTTTCTGTTGTATTACAGAAATCTCAATTTAAAGCATGAAACTCTTCATACTTTCTCAAGATAACAGATTAAGAATTTTGCTGAAGATACCATAACTGTAACTAGGAATGTTCCTTATTCATAAGTCGATTAAATGGGAGGGGAAAAAAAGACTGACCCTTCTAAAAGTACTCAGACAATCAAGTTGCATTTTAAATGCTGCTGAAATTTGTGACACTTTGTGCTGTGCATACACATTCACATTAGCTTGCAAAGTGTGCCAGTGTTTTGCAGCTATCTGTCCTTGCAGATAAACCTTTACACACTTATGCAGAAAGCAGTATCTTCTGGTCGAGTGTTTGTGTGTGTGTGTAACTGTCCTAAACAGGAACAAAGCTAATTAGCCAATTTTATTTTTTTAAATAATTTTTATTTGTTTATTTTTTTAAGTGGAATGTTATATCAGTAGTGTGGGGAGGGTGTGTGTGGTGGGGGACATGCTCCTCACACTCTCCCCATCTCTCATAAAAAATCAGTAAGGAAAACAAGGAAGGGATGTGCATAATGGAATGGGTCATCACACTAAGATTACTCTGGCCAGACGTAAATGGAATACTGCAGAGCTGCACTGCACTCCTTGTTTACATGTTCTGAGACAGAGGGTGACTGGGGGGCAAGGGACTGCCATTTACTGAGAAATCCTGCTTAACATCTCAGGGCCAACAGTCAACTGGCATACATGAATGTAATCTCAATAAGTACTTGTTCATATTACTGAGTATTTCTGGTGCTGGATAGCAAGAGGAGCAAGTATTGCAGGTTTAGTCTGGGAAATGTGACTGAAAAGAAAGACCAGGTGGATCAATCAGCATTTTGTCTGATCTTCCAAGGCGAGTCCATTGTCTGGTCTCCGATGGTTGGGAAGTCCTCAAACTGTGGGGAGATTCTTGTTTCACATTGCCTGAAACAATAGAAGGAAAATTCTTCTTTTATCTCCTAATCAGTCTCTGTTGTCTGGACCGAGCTCTTTTCCCTTATTCTTTCCTCCTCTGCAACCTTTGCATTTCCCCCCCCTAATTTCTACCGGCTTGTGTCAGCATAATCAGCTCCCTGGTGTAAACAATGTGAGCTGGGCAAAAATAGTGTTGTTGATTGAAGTGGGTAATAACATGGCCAAAACATATCAGACGTTTCTCAAGTAGAGTTCACAGAAAAGTTACCCTAATCCAACAAGTGTGACTAAAGTAAAGAAAACTTGAAAACTAGTGAGAGCAATGTATTATAGCTATAATGCACAGTTGGTACATTGTTACGTGCATTTGTCGTCAGTCACTGTAATCTTAATATATTTGAAAACGGTTTTCAAAATTGCATCCGAGTGTGACTGTAGCCAGGGATTGAAAGTTCCTCCATGTCTTGCATTAGACACTGAGCTATCTGTTTAATTTACCTTTTTTGTCTCTGTTCTGTCCAGGGAGAGCAGAGAAAATTGCAGCCTGTTGAAAGAGGAGGTGGAGGGTCTGCGGAAGAAGCTGGAGAGGATGGAGAAAACCAAAGAAGAGCTGATCAACATGGAACTGGAAAAAGAGGTAAAAGTGTGGGCAGTTAGAAATATATAAATATTAAGAGAATTAAGTAATAAGCAAAGCTTCAATGAGACATTTTTAGATTAATGACTCTGGCTGCATCCTCGTGAAGGTTTTTGTGACTCCCTGTCCTCTATGTTTGTTTTTGCAAACTTTGAAGTTTAACTTTTAGAATTTACTATCAAATATATTTTTTAATTAATAATCTAAGCTTAGAATGTCCTCCAAAAAGCCCTATACACACTGGGAGCAGTTCGTAGTGATATGGTGGCAACAGACCATAGAAAACAACTACAGGTGAAAAAAGTGCTGCTGAAGTGGGCGGGACTTGCGATAAACTATTCTCAGCTTCACGTGAGCAACTGAGGTGGCTACCAATGAGAGTGAAGAATACAGTTGATTAACATATAAGCTGGTAGCAAATATGGGAATGTCCACTAGCGTTCAGTGTCAGCTTCAAGCTGATGCTTGAAAAAAGACTGACTTCCTGTGTGTAGGCAACTTGAGTAAACATTTCAGTCATTACTTTTTAAAAAGCTATTGTCAGAGATAATTGGTGAATTATAAAATATGTACAATAATAAGAGAAGAAAATAATGTATTTATACTGCTGTGGGATGTAAAGATGCCATATTTGCAAGACTTCATACTGCATAAAAGTATTCTTTTTCTTCTGCTGTTGACTGTATTATATAAGCATCAACTTTTCCTGTACTCAAAAACAGTTATTTGCTTTGGTGTCATTAAAACTTAGAGGCTCACAGAGAAGCTCCACGCCTGGGAGAACCTTGGGCAATCTACTGGACTCAACATAAGGTCAGACACTATTTCAAAGTGTGTACGTTTGAATCACAAAGAAAAATATTTAAATAGACATTTGTGTATTTCTTTCTTTTTCTTTTTTCTTTTTTTTCCTGTTTTTAATCATGTATAAAGTGCCACTAGGTGGAGCTGTGGTCACTCCATACAAATGTGCCTCATCATTGTGGATTGAGTCCACCATTGTGTATAGATGTCTGTTTGGTACCTGCTTGTGAGTGCACCAAATGAGTCTCAATGCATTCACTCAAAGCTGGTAATGAGAGAATGATTGCATGTTTCCTCGTGAGCAATGAAGCTGATCTGACACATAAACACTGCAGACCTGCCGATGGCATGCATGCACGCACACATGCGCACCGTGTTTTTCTTTCTTTTGTGATTAACGTTGACTGTGAGATAAACACAGCGCTTAATGAAAAGTGTGTGAGGATGTGTGTGTTGTTTTTTTTGTTTTTTTTTAAAGTGTGGGAGGAAAAAGTAAAAACTGCGATCTAATAAACTATGAAATTAAGTGAAATCAATATTTCCGTAAGGCTTAATTTTAGTCATATGTAATGTGTTATGTAACATTTTGAATCCTTAAAAAGTGAGATATTTAAAGTAAATTGTTGTAATTTTCTTCCTCAAACTCCACTGGATAAGGGGAATCTCATAGTTCTGTTATTGGCTTCATGTGTGATGCTGATGTAAAAGTGCAAAATATTAATGTTGCACACATATGTTTAGCTCCTGATGATCAAAATAGCACCACAGTCACCTTTAGAAACTCCTTAAAGCTGTTATTCTGGTGTTTAATAAAAGCCCGAAATAAAATGTCAATGCGGTCAAGATGTTATTTTCTTGTCACAGTGTGTGCGACGTAGAGGCAGGTGGAAGTAAGTGTGTTTCATTCAGCAATTTGTTCACCTTTACTGCACTCGGTGCATCAGTGCTGTGCGAAAATTACTATTGATGTGGATTTGTGCATAAGTGGGATATTGTGATTGCCTTGTAGGCTATTAAACAGTCATTATTTCAGCATTTTACTGCTTGGAGTCTTGTCAGTTATATAATTGTCAAAGTTTTTATGAAGAAGTTTAAGAATCACAAAGTAAGTGAAAGTGAATTGGATATATGTCATATTCTTTTTGCGGTTAAGAATGATCAGGAGCTTTCAGAAGAAAGGAGAATTGATGGCACTGCAGTGACAGAATAATGATCATATCTCAGGGCCGTCAGTAATGTAACAGTGCCTGAATTAATGCTGACATGAAGTCGAAGCTGCTTGTTTAGGGCGGTTGTTGTTCTGTCATTAAGTATGAAATGGCTCATAAGGGCTGCTGTGCTTTGACACTAAAGTTTGGATTTTCATTGTTGATTTTTCTATGGTTTTTGTCATTTTGCGTTACTTAAAGCTAAATATAATTTATATTTATACATAATAAACATTTTCTCTCACAAGATATATCAGGATATGAAGAGTATGTAGCTGAGTTGCGACTGAGGATTGAATAAATGTAATTTACTGTACTTGAAGAGTTGACCTCCATCACCCTGAGATTTAATTCTTACCAACAATGTTGGTCTTTTGCCAGGAAGAAATAACTTAAAGGGAAAAGAGAAAACTCCTAAGAACAATAAATGTGTTGAGAAGTAGACGCAAGCCTTAAAGCTGCAGCCTGGATTTGCTAGCAGCTGGCTGGTTGCTAGAAGTTATTATCTTTCCTTCTGTTATGTGAGATGATAACATTGTGCTTGGTTATGTGCGTGCCAGTGGGGATGACAATTGAAAATAAAATTGGAAGAAATAGAAGATGAATATATCTTTATGCCTCCACGCTGGCGACAGCTGGGGCTGGAGGCATTTAAGTTTTGGATTTGTCCGTCGCTTTCTTTACATGATATCGCTCGAAAGTTTCACTTTGACTGGAGGATGAAGTGATTAGAATTTTGTGTGTTTAAAGTTCAAGACTTGATTTGGCCCTAATTCAAGAATCTCTAAATATCTGGAAAATGACATATATGATAAAAATGATCAGATAATGACATTTTTACACCAAAAGGTCACACGTTCTCATCGCTGTGAGATCATAATGTGCCACAAAATCACTTTTCTGACAACAATTCAACAGGAAATTGTGATCGTCTAGTCATATCTAGTTGGATACTGAATTCGTGCAACTTGACTGGTTGCTGGAAGTGCTTCTGGTCTTGCCATTGAAGGACAGCTGAATGATTAAAATACATTGAAAGGTCTTCCAGAAAATGTTTTTTTTCCCCCTTATTATTGAAACTTTCACAAGCTACAGAAAGAACTGCAACTATTTTGTGCATGTAAGTCACAGACTGGTTTTTGTGTGATAGATGGTGTATTAAATTGAATTAACTACTTCATGGTAGTGTTTGTGTGTATGCTGAATCTTGATGCCACATTGAAGGCCATACAAACTTGATGCTGTTCCCTGTGGATTAAGACTTTCTTTTAGCTCGTATGTGTCCATGATCCACCAGTGAAACAAGTTTAGTTGGAATGCTACCCAGTGTTCATAAATTGCTGGATTTTTATGCTAAATATTACTCGCAATTAAATAAAACCAATAAGAGTTTTGTTAACTTTGATAACAAGACTGTGCAATTTCTGGAGAAATTACAGTACAACTCCTGTACACTGTTTCACTTTACGTTGTTGTTGTTGGTTTAGATGGGCTAAACATGTGTACAGATCCATTTCAGGAATACATAATCATACTGAAAGAGAGAGAAGTTCATCAAGTACATCAAAATCGGTCAGTTGATTCCATCCACGCTGGTTATAGAGGAGTTAAAATTAGCACGGTGATACTGTTCTATGTGCCAACAAGCTAAATTTCATGCATGAAAGGTTTGGGAATTGTCATCACCCAGCAAAGAGGGGGACCGACTTTATATAACTCAAGAACGACACAGCGTAAGATTTTCAAATTAATACCATGGGTGTGTTTACAACAAATCTTGTATGAGTTCTGGAGTGAATTTTGTCGAGGTCAGAGGTCAAGTTTCCAAACACAGAAAGTCAGTGTTCTCAGTTATTTATATTTATTATGATTTTAGCATTTCTTACTCCCAGTTCTTACTTAACAATTGAAAAGCAAATGGCTATGGTGAATAAAATCACTAAGGCTCATTCGCATCCATCCAGTGGGACAAATTGGACTATTTGCTACTATAGTTATGTTTGATATCTGGGCTTTGGACTAAATTTTACTTTTGGCCACGTTTCCCGATTCACTTATGTGCGTTTTGTAAGCAAGACTCGCTAATCTGACAGTTCATTTTGTAGACCAGGTTACACCCCAGTTGTTCACAACATTGCACCCAATAATATGCAACCATCACGTTATTTGCAACAGCATCCAAGATGACTGACTCATGACCTGCAAAACAAAACAAACAACAGGCAGAGGACAGAGAAATATCTGCTTGTGTGAGTTCAGGAAAAGGCTCATCCCTCTGTGCTCAGGGCAATGTTGAATTATCTACTTGGGATACCAAGGCCATTCCAGCTTAAAATTCACAAAGTCATATTTTAGTCATGAGTTTATTTCCATACCTGAAGTCACGCCTAGATAAATGTTAAGTGGTACAACCCACTTTCCTAGAAAAAGTTCCACATAACGGCTGAACATAACCCCCACACAGTGTCTCGCTTACAGATTATGCCTTTATTAAATGATGAAGTTTCAGTCCGACTGCCTTTCACCAGGTGCAAAGGCAACGTCTATGTATGGATATGTTATGTATATACTCGCATGTACATGTATAATAGTTGTGATAACCATGAAGTGATATCCAACTTGCATGGATATCACTTCAAAAATTGTTAACTATAGCTGCAATACCAAAAGGGATGATTAACATATCCCATAAATGATTAATATAGCAGAAATATGACAGAAAAAGACATCAAATGGATGATTAAAATTGTGTGTGTGTGTGTGTGTGGACATTACTTTTGTACCTGATAAATGTTGATTAGACTCAAACATTGTAATTTATGTTTTAAGGTAGACGATGTGCAGGAGTTACATTCAGTTATAACAGTTCAATTGTGAAAATGTGCTCAGCATTAAAGGTCCCTTGGGATGAGACCGTTTCGCATGCCTTGTACAATAATGCATTCCATCATGGACGCTTGCTTTTGAATTGTGTGCTGATAACAAGGAAGATACTGTATCTCCTCTTTGGCCTGAAGGCATTCAGGATTTGCAAAAGAATTTCAGATTTGAGTTCAGACCATGGAAAATGAGTTTACCATGGTCTGAATAAAGCAGCTAGTTTATTCATATAATAAGCACTATAGCTAGCGTTTGGGGATGCAGTAATCACCGATCACTTACAGTGGTTGTCATAAGCGCCATTCATTCATTTTGCGCTGCTTAACCATGTCTGAGTTGTGAGGTCAGCAGTCCAAGCAAACATGCCCAGACCTCCTTCTCCCTGCCCACTTCCAGCTCTTCTCTGGTGTCACCCAAGCCAGGTGAGAGATATAATCTCTCCAGTATGTCCTGGGTCTGCATCCTCTTTGCAGGACATTCCCAAAATACTTCACCTAGAAGGCGCCCACGAGGCGTCCTTATCAACCACATCACCTGGCTCCTTTCAATGTAGAGGAGAAGCAGCTGTACTCTGAAACCCTCAGAATGAAAAGGCTCGCATCCTATCTTCAAGAGTCAGTGTTGCTTCAATTGGTACAAAGCTATGCATTTATTACTAACCATCATTACACAGTGTAATATCAGTTAACGCTGCTCCATGAGATTAAAAGAGTAAGAAACTAAAAACTTAGATGGGAGGTGATGTCAGTTTATTAGATCTCCCAGAATTGACAGTATTTGTCTTCAGACATGGGTAGTTTGCAAAGGATGGTCAAATGCAGTTTTTCCTTAACATCTCTCCAACAGTAAGTAATGATAATTTTTCATTAGAAACAAGTTCTAGCATAGGCCACCTAAATCTCACAACTGCAGTAACAGAGGCAACGTTAGCACGCTACCGTATATGTTTTTGTTTGTTTGTTTGTTTTTCTTAAATGGACTTAATGCAGTAGTATGATTTAGGTGCTGAGTGGATAATCCAGCACCAGCTTCATATGTAAAATATATAAAACAACACACACAGTACATGTGGATGAGAGACGAGATGACTGCTCGAGGCTGTGACTTATTTGTGTTCACATCATGACCTTGAAAAAAAGATTAATTCTTTCTCTGGCTCCTGTTCCAGCACCTGTAATGTTGCTGAGGTCAATATGAACACGTGAGTATAAATTTGGTGTGGTGGTGAGCAATGTTGCCTCACAGCAAAGAGATCTTGGATTCAGATCCCCTTCGGCCAGCTGGGCCCTTCTGTGTGCAGCGTGCATGTTCTCCCTGTGCCTTCCCCTCTGGGCTCTGGCTTCCTCCCATAGTCCAAAGACGTGCATGTTAGGTTAATTGGTGATTCTAAATTGAGCATAGTTGTGAATGGTTGACTGTCTCTCTGTGCTAGTCCTGTGACAGAGTGGCAACATGCCCAGGGTGCACACGAGTCTTGTCCCTCAACAGCCGGGACCCTAACATGGATAAGCGGAAGAAAATGGATATGCGTGTGTATGTGAATGTGTATGCAGGTAGTCTTTGAGTTATTTTCATCATACTTACATTTAAGACATTATAGGCTCTAAATCATCGTTGTCATTGCCTCCAGTTTTCATGTACATTTTATATTTGTCTGAAGTTTTTTGGGCTTGAAATGCTGTTTGTAATAAATCCTCACCATCCAGTTTTCACATGGAATACTCTTGTCTGCCTTGAAGTTGGTGTGTACTCACAGTAGGGAATCCGTAGTGCGTCAAAGCACATTTGACCCCCAGAGTCCATTATGTTTAACTAGTGTGACCATTTCAGTTAAGCACATCAAGCCTTGCCCCACTTTTTAGGAGGTGAGCCCAGGCACGGTTCAGTTGGACTCATACAGGGTACACGTTGTAGTGTAATCACTAACCGTGGAACACTTCCTCACTAACACCCTCTCTCGTGAAAATCACCGTGCTAACTAATTAACAAATCTATAAGGTACGTGAGGACAACGTGTTATTGCTTAAAAAAAAAAGGTTACAACTAAAGCACATAAAATCATGAACCTCATTTGTTGTGCAAGAATGCGTTTCAAAAGCAAGTGTCTGCCTGAAAGAGGGAGAGAGAGTAAGCAGGGGATAAGATGCTGAGACACTGAAGTGTACTCTGGCCCCGGATCGTTAAGTGTTAGCGCAGGCCAGCAGGCGAGGGGAGAGGGCGGACAGTCAAGCTTGGGCATGGTACAAAGCAATTGTGTGAGTACACCCTTAATCTGCCTGCTCAGCCTTTTCTGTTCATATCCCTAATTTGTCAGTAGATTGCCTAATCATGGCACACAAGCCCAGGTCAGGTCTCTTGGTGCTAGTATGTGAAACATGTAAAGCAGATTGATTTCATCGAGGAAAAGCAACTAGCCTTAATCTGTTGATATTTCCAGGTTTGTTGGTTGAATTGCTTAACCTGGTAATCTTCAGTTGCTCTGAAGAGTAAGCTACATCCTCTGAAAGTCTCTAGTTTTGCAGTAAAAGTGCTGTGGAGCTAAATTGCCCAATCTTAAGCCCATTTCACAAGAGGTGAGATGTTGGCTTTTAAACACATATGTGGCACATGCATTGCTGCCTTTTCACCGTCTGTTTTGTAACCCGTCAGTCTCTTCCACCGAGTGAGTTTGTTTTGTAGAGCAGTGACCAGTATTTACCCCACTGTCCTCCTCTCATCTCCCCCCCCTGCTCCTCGTGTCATTTTATTTCTGAGCTCCCTACTGACCGGCAAACAAAAGACTGTGGCAGTGCCGTCGTGTTCATCTATTCTGCCCTTTCTGCTTTCTCAGTCGTATCAATTTTTCATTGCGGGAGTAAGTGTGTGTACACATCTGTATGCTAACTGTTCTGTGCTGTGTCTTGTCTGTAGGAAACCCGAGGATCTGTCCAGGGAGGTGATTCAGATCCAGCAGAGAGAAATTGCTCTGAAAGAGCAGAACTACACACTCAACAGCCGGTAATACACACACACACACACACACTCGCTCGCACACAAAATCCCTTTCTCTCTCTTCAGACCTATTTCTCTCATTCTGTCTGCTTGCATGCCTCTCTTCCCCTCATGTATCTATTAGAGCATATCTCTGAGAAGTCCTTAATTGTCACAAAGTTAATTAAACTGGTCCTGATTCTGATAGCACTCCTGACAGTAACCACTGGTGTGTGAGTGTGTGTACGTGTGCGAGAGAAGGAATTCACTAATTAAACTTGTCCTGTTTAGACAGAGGTGATGTCTATAGGGAGGGCCGCACACGCGTGCTCTGGTATATTCGTGCTGCAACTCAGTCCAGCTAAGAAAGCTTTCATTAGCTAACAAGCGTTCCTCTTCTGCTGAGCGTATTGGGCTCATTATGAAGTATTAGAAACAGCAGAATGGGAGAGTCGTGGGTGTGGGAGGGGATGGTGATGGGAGCTTGCGGTATAATTATTGCCCTTCGGCGTAATTATTGTCCTATTGATCAGACCTGGCACAAATCTCTGCTGAAAATAATTTCTGGACCCTTGTCTGGGATTTTTTGGTGTCAGTCAGGTAAGTCGTCTGTGAGTCTTATTATAAATTGACTATAAATTGCCTTTCTCAAATTGTCAGACTGTTCTGCATTAATCAACCTCTTTCCTTCTTTCTCTCCCCTCTCTCTCCCCTGTTATTAACAAACACACACATACGTACGAACGCGCACACATAAAAATTGCTTCCCACCAATTCATTTATTCTGCTCTGTCAGTGTGAGGAGTGTGGAGCGTTCACAGTCTGAGCTTCGTGCAGAGCTGACCCAGCAGCACAGCAAGACTCTGGAGGAGCAAAAGAAGAGAGAGGCACAGGACGCTCTTGTCCGTCGACTGCAGAAGCGGGTGCTGCTGTTAACCAAGGTACCTGGCGATCAGCCACGCACTCTCAAACACAGTATTCATGCCTTCAAACATGACCTTTCAAACATCACCCAATGCGGTAATTTGACTCTAAACACTCAGTGAACACAGTAGCCAGGTAGACTTGCAAGGCCAGCATTGAATTCTTAATCTCGCCTTTACGCCTCTGTCCTGCTAATTGGCCACCGGGTGTCACATGACTCCTCCATCTGTCTGTCTTGCCCCCCTCCCTTGCTCTGCAGTTCTTGAGAAGACCTCCCTGTAATATTGATTTCTTGATGTGTGTAATTCCCGACGTTATCATGCTCAGTCTCTCACCACACAAATCACACACATGGACACACCACCACCATAACTAGGCAGGATTAAAGGGGTGCTAACATTATAGCTCGGTGAAAGAATTATATTGCATCAAGTTTTCACAAAAGCGAAATAAGTAATTGTTATTTCCCAGCCAGTCACAGCCTATTTAGAAAAAAAATCCATTATAGTTGGTGTTAAGTTCTGAGCTTTTAAACCTGAACTGTTTAAGCTGTTTATTTATTCAGGCGCAGTCGCAGAACAATTTGTTTCCAACAATGCAAATATGCCGAACACTCGAATTACCTTAATGATTGTAGTGAAGTATATTAATGACGTGACTTCAACCATATCTCCAACTGCCCAAGTTTATTTTTATTCATAATTTTTTCTTTATTATGTTTTAAAAAAAAATAATTTTAGGAAAACTGAGCTGTGATAATGGATTAAGTACGGTAGCGAATTAGCCAATACAGCTTATTTCTATGGCTTGTAATGTAGCCAGCAACCACTGATGTTATTCAGTTTCCTTCTTTCTTTCTCCTTTTTTTAAGCTTAATTTTAAGGTTTAAGGCATTTCATATACTTTAATGACAAACAACTGAAAATGCCTTTTTTACTCAAATGTGTTGTGGTTTTTAGTTTTTAAACTTTACTGAAAATTGAAAGGATCTTTTTGCTCACCTAAAATTAGGGTATGCGTCATATAGCCTGAAGTCTGCATTGCAAAAACAATGAGAATGGTCTTTCATTTATGTATTCAATACTTTTAAAATGAAAAATAATAGCTCATTGAGTGTGGATTCAGGGAAGAATACAAGCTATCTGAGGAATATGAAGAACATCTGAGCAGTTGTTTTTAAGTTTTTATAAAGGGAAAAAAAGATTAATCAGAGCATGTTTATCCACTTTTGAACTTTCCTCCAGGTGTCTTAGATGGATTTGAAATGTCACCCTGCCCAACTAAGAAATAAAACTCAAGAGAAGCAGCAGGTCCTCCTATTTGTGTATGTGGAACCAACAAAGTGACTGACAAAATAACTAAATTGTTATTCGGTTTTGATTGTCGTCAGTAGTTTGTATATTGATCAGCTAACCAGTTCATCAAGTAAATGTTTGACCTTTGAAGAATTCTTTGGAGAAGAGAACTAGTTAATTAACTAATTGCCCCACAAACCCTTGAGGTTCTTCTACTCTTTACTATGAAATGCAACATTTTGTCTTTGCCACAAGGCGGCATCTCCTTTAAGCCACCATTGGTCTGGTTACTTCTTTTACCTTCACATACTTTAGTGGGACAGACTCCGTGACCCATTAGAGGCATGGCCAGAGCTTCACGCACTGGATAAAACAGTTGACACAAAAGCAATTTCAAAAAAAAAAAAGATGATGAAAACAGTAATGATAGTTTTATCATTCTGTCCACCCATTCCCTGTTTGTTTGTGTGTTTTTAAATTGAGAGTTTTTATCAGAGAAGAGGTGACAGATTTTGATTAAGATTGAGTGAATTTCTTGGCACATTAATGGAGAGTAAACAGCCAAAGGGCCTGCTGGTTAGTACTGGGAGTGAACACATGCACACTGACCTCTAAACGTACTCATATGTGCCTTTTTTGTATTTACTTCTGTTCATTCTGTCTTCCTATTTATCTTCTTTTCTCCTCTAAAGAGAATCTTGTAGGATGTATGAAGTCATTGGTTGTGTGTCAATGCTTAGCAAACTAAACTGCTGTAATGCATTTGACGGACTCATTTCTTAGCAGACTATCTTGATTTTGATCTGACTGGTTAGTTTTGCCATGGTTTGTTTGCAGGTAGTAACCAGTATGCTATTGTACAAGGATTATTATTGCTGCCCACTGTTGGGATTTGGGCAAAAATTTGGGGTTAGGGTTATGGTCACAGGCGAGGGTTAAGATGCGTCCACACGCACGTCACTTTGAAGCTGGTTCCCTAGGTGACCCTCTAATGTGTTACGTAGCAGGTCATATGCCAATCAACGGTATCCTTCACTCTTATTTGTAGTTGCTTCAGCCGCCGTCTGGAAGTTGAGAAACGTTTTTCTTCCACCTCATTCTCTTCCTTTTCTTCTCAACTGGACTGGAGTCAGTCACATCCATAAACACTCATTTATTCTCGATATTGTCACAGTGCTCATTGTCAGCAGATTTGACATGCGACCCTCTTGTCTCTGGACAGCTGACAACAAGTCAGCTAATCAACAGCTGGTTATAAGCTAGCATTATGCCAGCTAATCTTCGGCTAAAAAAAATCACACTTTCCTTCTGGTAAACAGTTTGATTACATTACACAGTGTACTTTAAAACTTATGACATTTATTGCCGTGTTACATTAGCAGCTTTCAAGTGATGAAATGTGTTACACAAGTGTAAAGTCAGTTTGACTGGGTCAAAGCATCTCCATAATGGCTGGTCTTATGGGATGTTCCTGGTATGAAGTGGCCCACACAAAGGTCACAGAGTTCAGGATTCTGTCTCTGCCTTTTAATATGTAATTTCTGCTGCAGTGTCAGTGGCCACTCTAGAACAGATTTCATGTATTTGCACCTCCTGATTCACAGAGTCAGCCATTAGTGACTTCTCACAGAAATTTTGCTACGTAATGTTTGGTTCTTAACTTGATTATCATAAAATGCCACCTGCTTTGCTTTATAGTGCACAGTGTACACTGACAGAGTCAGGAGGGGAGGAGTTGCATCATATGACTGACAGTTCACTTCTAAGATAGCAAAGTGAACTGACAGCTGACCTCAGAGCATTGTGCTTTTCCTTTCTCTCACAAGTATTCTTGACTGGAGTGGTTACAGGTCTCACAAAAATGTAGACGATGATTACCAATTATTATGAAGTGTTATTTAGATGAGCTTGTGTATTAAATTACTATAAATTAACAACGTTAACCTTTTGTCTTCTCTAAACTATGGGACAGTCAATAGTCTTTTACAATTTATATTATGTATTATATTATTGTATCTATATATTATACCGTTATAATTTTGAACATTTAATACCTGTTTTTGAGTGATTTCATTTATATCTAATCCTATTATTATTGCCTTTTTGATCCTCTATACAATGATCGTGCATTTATTAGGTTCCATTCACACACCACAACAGGCCATTGCAGTTTATTTTCTCTTTGCTTATGACAATAAATGTAAAAATCTCTTTTCATATGGATTTTTTTTTTTTTTTGGGACTCCATGAGATTCCTGTGACAGTATGTGAAATATAAAATGAACCACTCAGACATGAAGCACACAGACCGACAACTTTGATAGCTATTTGGAAACTGTATGTCAGTCCTGTTGACGCTTTAAAAGAAATATTTTTCCTGTTGAAGAGAAGCAGGTATGCCTCTGACTCCATTACAGAGGACAAAACTTTTACTATTCAGCACATTAAAGATGAGATGATGAGGAAGCATAATATAGGCAACACGTGCTCTTTATTCATTCTGGTATTCTTTGTCTACAAAGGCATTTTCCTTTGATTTGATTCTTTCAGTTTTAGAAATACAGATGAGCATGGGCACACGCAAGCTTCTCTTATCACAGCTTGGATAAGAACGCTGTAGCTGCCTCATACTGTGTTACTGACTTATGCATGCGTTTGATGGTCACCTGAACACAGCAAACAAAAAGAAACAGTAACAATTAGAGGAAAAAAGTAAGAAAGATGCTTTCTTACTTTGTTTTTTCATGCAGACACAGATAGACATTTACTATGTGATGCCACAAAATGTTAAAATTCCCACAACTTTTTCTTTTACTTTATTGGATACGGTGAAATTTGTTTATTAATCAGCAGATTTACCGTGTTATAGTGCTGTTAATGTGTAACGTTTTATGTTGCAGGAGCGGGATGGAATGCGTGCCATATTAGAGTCCTATGACAGCGAGCTGGCGCCTACTGAGTACTCTCCTCAACTGAGCAAACGCCTCAGGGAGGCCGAGGACATACTGCAGAAGACACAGAGCCATAATGCAGAGATGGAGGTGTGTCTGCAGGCGTGCATAAATATACTTTTTTTTTTTTTTGTCTTCTGCTCTTTGTTTTGTTTTTCAAAGTTGAATTTGAAAGCACTGACTTCCACTAAGCTGCCGACCAGATTATTATGCATGTAGCTGTTTGACACATGGCTCGTAGCTGAGGGCACAGTAATTGCATGCTGCTTAGCTTCAGCTGCTTGTTGTTTACATCCTCAATACTCTTGTTTAGCGGACAGACTGAAACACATCTACAGTGAAAATGGATAATACTGGACTTACGTTGCAGAGATTTTCACCCTTTTCTTTTAATTCCCTCAGTTTGACAGAATTGCCATGTTTAAGTGCAGAACCCCAGTTTGATTCTCTCCAGTTTTGCCCTTTTAAAGTTACTGCATTATGCTGTTTACACTGTGACTCACTTTTGAAAGAGATGGGCGAAATACCTTGAATTTCTCTACAAATCTTTTATTTTAATAATCAGCCAACAATCACTGTGAATTTGGCAGTTGCTGTGCTGAAGCGGGAATCAGCACTAACCTAGCACCCCCTGCACTCGTAGTGTCACAGCTTGGCTAATCTAACATGAAGGTTAATAAAATGGTAAATGGCCTGTATTTATATAGCGCTTTACTAGTCCCTAAGGACCCCAAAGCGCTTTACATATCCAGTCATCCACCCATTCACACACACATTCACACACTGGTGATGGCAAGCTACAAAAGCTAACATGCAGCTTGATCTGTAAGAAAATGGAACAAACACAAAAGCCTCCACAACACACTGCCTTAGGACACTACAATACAAAATAATAACCCATGAAAGACCTAATATTTTGGTTGATAGCAACTCATTTCTCAACAGGGATGTTATTTTGAAGTACTAACTGGCTTCTTTCCTTTGTTTTTTGGAGGGCTATTACTGCATATCAGTAGGCTAGGGTCATTTTTCTTTTTGCTTCTGCATTACATTTGTTTTGTCCTGTTAATTCAGGCTCAGCTGACCAAAGCGCAGGAGGAGACAGGGACACTAAAACTGCAGCTACAAACAGTAAGTGAACCTGCAATCCTGTTTTTTTGGGTTGGGTTTTTTTTTTTTTTTGTTGTTGTTGTTGTTGTTGCAACATGCCGTTTCTATAAAAGGCACAGGCATTGTTCACCAGTCAAGTAATTAGCAGCCAAAGTATAAGCAGTATCAACCAGTTTGGAGACATGGATCCAAGAGCACAATCAGTCTATTTTTGCAAAAAGCGTTTGAGATGTAGCTAGCTAATTTCACATATAGCAGTTACAAAAAGATGATAAGAGCATAACCAGCATCTATGATTGTGCCATGTACACTATGTGAAATTAAAGGAAAGTAGTATGTGTGTGCACCTTTGGGTGGCCACCAGTATCATGTGCCCACTGTCCTGGAGGCTCCAGGTTAATAATTGATATAATTAGAACAAGAGGGAAGGCAGACTTCAGTAGCAGGAGGTGGGAATCATGCATCTTTATGTACAATCTGTTGAAGTTACCTAGACAAGATGCATATATAACTCCATTTAATTAATTAAAGGACTTTGTGACTCTGTTCCAGTCCGTTGCAGTGAAGAGACAGCTGAGCGTCAGTGTGTAGCCATCGATTTACTGGTTGATTTACCTTTCTGCCGTCACTGAATACCCCAAGATTTGGGCAGTGACTGAAAGAATAAAATCTCAGATACAGTGGCTTGCAAAAGTATTCGGCCCCCTTGAACTTTTCCACAATTTGTCACATTACAGCCACAAACATGAATCAATTTTATTGGAATTCCACGTGAAAGACCAACACAAAGTGGTGCACACGTGAGAAGTGGAACGAAAATCATACATGATTCCAAACATTTTTTACAAATAAATAACTGCAAAGTGGGGTGTGTGAAAAGTTCAAGGGGGTCGAATACTTTTGCAAGCCACTGTACAAGTGGAAATGAGCTTCATCCAAAAGTTTTCTGGGATCCCACTTAAAGGTGAGGTCAGGGGCTCAGTCATTCAGTAGAGGCTCACAATAGTCTGTCTATACATCCTGACTAAGACTCCTCCTGGATACTTCTTAGTTGAGGTGTTTCAGGCATGTCCTACCAGGAGGACACCCAGGGGCACACTGGAGAGATACTGTCTTATGTCTGGCTTGCCTCACTGTGCCCCTGGAAGAGCTGGAGGAGATGGCTGGGGAGAGAGAGAAATCCTGTTATCTTTGTTTAGACTCTGGTTCAAACAGCCCAGATTCATGTAAGTGGTAGAAAATTGATGAATATAACCACCCAACCAGCTAAATATAAGAATAAAATGAAATATGGATGCAAAAGAATCTATGCGTCTATCTATACATAGTAATCTTTTAATGACAGTGTAAAAAAATGAAAACAGATGTAAACTTTAGCACATGTTCTTTTTTCAGTCCTGAGTGTGTCAGTACATTTAACAGGTTTATCTGTCAATCTTGGCATGTACATTTTTCTCAATTGAAGATTTTAGAAATGACAGAAAACTCTTACAGACAGAAGTATTCTGCTTTTAAATATAGTCCCGGATAACGTAGCGAGTTGGCAGGTGTGACCTGAAACCTTGAAACGCACCCTCTTTACTCATTCTATGATCTTCCTTCTTTTCGTGGCTCCTTGTTGCCGAGGTGACATCAACATAGCCATAGCAATGAGTATTGACGCGTGAAATCTACCTGTCTGGTATAGCAGTAATTACTTATCTGTCTTGGGAAGACTGGGAGTGGGGATGCACCGAGAGACGGGCAGATGCTGTCAGAGAAGGAGGAAAATTGGTGTGCAAATGGAAATGAGGGATAATTTTACAGACGAGAGCAAGATCAGAGGGGAAAAAACAACTATGAGACAGATGGAATAGAAACGAGTAAGAGGTAAAAAGATCAGGACGTTGTGAAACAGAAAATAAGTTAGTGGGCTAATGGTGTGTAAAGGATATATCTGTTTGTCTTGATGTCTGTGTCAAAAAGATAGCAGCCCACTATAATACAGTCTTCAGGATTTATCTGCAGGCAGAAGGTTTCTGCCAGGCACACGGCCAAAGGTGGTCTGATGATAGTACACCAGGATCATTTTCTTTGTGTCCCAGGCGGAGCTGGAGCTGGAGTCTTTAAAGAAGCAGCAGGCCTCTGCTACTGACAGCAACTCTTTACTGACCAAAGAAGAGGTCACCATTCTCAGGTGGGTTGACCTCAACATGTTGCAATGAAAAATTCATGACTATACATATAAAGGATTAAATCACTAATGCCTCACATGCATGCCTGAGCAGAGCTATACGCCTAAGATTAACCTGTTCACTCTGTGACATACATGGTCACATCTTTGCATGTTAGGCGTTATTAAACAGTGTATGTGCATGCATCTTTTTTCTCAGACAGAAAATTGAAGATTTAGAGAGAGAGCGGCAACGTTTGGAGGAGCAGAATAACATTCTGGAGATGAGACTGGAGAGGCACAACCTACAGGTAGGCGCTTTAAGTTCCCTCCAACTGTTTTCTGTGATGGATTTACTCGTCTGGCACAAAGGAACCAATTTAATAACCCCAAGGGCAGCAGACGAGCCCGCATGACACTACAGATTGATTCACACAAACGTTTCACATATCTGACAGTTTTTCAAACATAATTGGACCCAGGTGTGACTTGAGCAGCATCCAATGGAAAAATCGCACAACCTGTGGCTGATTTGAAATCCTTCCTTTGTTGGTGGAAAGGATTACAATACACAGAGCATTTCGTGGACCTCCCTAGTGTTAGCTGCGAATGACACTGGCTAAAATTAAATTGGTAGACAACATTTGTGAAACATAAACACAGACACACACATTTGACTGTGTGCATCTAATCCAGCTGCTTTCATCTTCCAAAGTTATTTAAGTCTTTTCCTGTTTTTTTTCTTTTAAAAT